TCACGAGCCTTCCGGGCCCTTGTATTCGAGAAGTTGAACTCATTTGAGTCGCAAGATGGACATGTAGCTCACATAATTTGGGAGATACCCTCATTACTTTGGTTTTATAACGAATGTAGATGGTGACTTGTGATTTCAGTGAAATCCATGCCAATTCTTCCGTTATCCGTCACGTAATTAATAATTCTGACTTTCTTAAGTTAGAAGGTCCGATCCTTGAGGTCGATGCGATGGAAATGAAGCGAAATATAGGAGAAACCAACAGAATGACACAGGTGTAGTTAAACGTCACTTATGTCGTTCTGTCAATAAACACGAGTATGAGCAGTAATAAACACGAGTTTGAGCAGTCACGAGCTTTTCGGGCCCCTGTATTTGCGAACTTGAACTTATTTGAGTCGCGAGATTGACATGTCGCTCACATAATTTGGGAGATACCCTCATTACTTTGGTTTTCTAACAAATGTGGATGGTTACTTGTGATTCCACCGAAATCCATGCCAATTCTCTCATTATCCGTCACATAATCAATAATTCTGACTTTCTTAAGTTAGGAGGTCCGATCTTTGAGGTCGATGTGCGGATGAAATGAAGGGAAAAATGAGATAAATCGACAGAACGACACAAGTGACAGAACGACACAAGTGCCGTTAAACGGCACTTGTGTCGTTCTGTCAATAAACATGAGTTTGAGTAGCCACGAGCCTTCCGGACCCCTATATTCGAGAAGTTGAACTCATACGAGTGGCGAGATGTACATGTTGCTCACATATTTTGGGAGATACCCTCATTACTTTAGTTTTCTAATGAATGTGGATGGTGACTTGTGATTTCACTGACGCGATATCTACAATCTATGCCAATTCTTCTGTTATTTGTTACGTAATTAATAATTTTGACTTTCTTAAGTTAGGAGGCCCGATCCTTAAGGTCGACGCGGTGAAAATAAAGCGAAATATAGGAGAAACCAACAGAACAACATAGATACCATTAAATGTCACTTGTGTCGTTCTGTCGATAAACAAGAGTATGAGTAGTCACACGCCTTCCAGACCTCGATATTCCATAACTTGAACTCATGTAATTTGCGAAATGGACATGCCGCTCACATAATTTGAAAGATACTCTCATTACTTGAACAACATGAAAAATGAGAACAACACTAGTGATGTTACTGTTATGAAAACAGCACAAGTGTCGTTACTTATGTAAACACGATATGAATAATTGATAACTCGTATATTTAAAAATAAATTGTTACTAGATCAATGATATTTAATATCTAAACATCATTTCTATATTTTTTAGGTAAAATACTCGAAATGGTACCGTGATATTTTGTTATAACAAAAAATAAATATCTATCATTATGATTTCATCGATTCAAGTATATATTAAAATAATAAGAAAATAGTTACAATATTTAAATTATCAAAGTAACCACAATATATTATTAATAAGAAACAGATCATAACAGATAATGGTTGTACTGTCACTTTACATGGAGGATAACGACTGTAGTGTCGTTCTACACTACAGATAACGATTGGATTGTCGTTTCCAATCGTTATCGTCCAATAGTTGCGGACGATACAAATATACACCAAATGAGAAAATAAAATCAATTAAAATATCATTTTATACTATATTAAACAATAAAAGTACCAATATAAATGAGATTTCTAAAAATACCTTTCTTTTTTCTTTAAATATAGTGGAAATCTCAATGTAGATAATATAGATAATAAAATTCTTGTTCAAATGCTCACAATGTTGGAGAAGATAGAAGAAAAATACAATGAATATCAAGATTTTAGGGAAGAAATCACAGGGAAAACAAGTTAATGCATTTTGTAGATGAATTGAGGAATTTAATTGGATTGAAAGGGGTATTTGGGTATTTTCCATAATGAGGGTATTTTAGATATTTGACATTATTTGTTTATTGTATTTTATAAATGAAGGCCATTTGACCAAGAAACATTGAAAAAAAGTTATTTTATCAAAATCATTGTTTGACTAGGCTTTTTTATCAAATCCCCCATAAAAATAAGGGAAACAGGTTGAAAAACAGTCTGCACACGTATGGATGCATGATTGGAAAAATTGAAAAATTTAAAGAAAAAACACCCAACAACTTGCTGCCATGTCAGTCTATCTTTTCTGTTTTCGGTTTTTAAGCCTTTCTATTTATTATTTTTGAAAGTAAAATGAGTAAACACTTAATTTTTAATAAAAATAGAAGAGAGAGAGAAAATACAATAAAATAAAACAAAAACAAAACAGAAAAGGAAGGAGGTAACTTAAACGAAATGCATATTCAAATGATTAAGGTTCTGTTTGGAAATAATTTATAAATACATAAAAATAAGTTGTGAATAATACTTGTGGATATAGAGAGAGAGAGAGAGAGAGAGAGAGAGAGAGAGAGAGAGAGAGAGAGAGAGAAGAAAATAGTTAAAAATCGCATATATTTGATTTATAAATTTTCCAAACGAAGGCTAATATGGAACAAATGGAGTGCAGAGATCAACATAAAGTTCGTGCTACCAAATTGTGGCAGAGAATGTTTAGTCGACTCTTTCGTATGGAGGAGATTCAGGAGAATAAGAATTTTAATGAAGATTTTCCCATAATATCATATCATATGCTCATTTTATTCAACAATTTTATTTCTCCCTTTTCATATAAAAAGAAAAATTATAAGAAATGAAAGATAAGTGAACACCTCAAAGACGTTATAAAGGGCTAAAAGGTTCTGGTAGTGGTTCTAGTCCATTATCAAAAATTCGTTCTTGGTTAGACTTGCCTTCAATACTGTGGAGCCAATTGGTGTTCTTCAAATCCTCTTTGAGGAGAATCGTGTCATAACATGAGCTTTCATAAATATCGACATTTGATAGTTTAGCTGAATATTTGTCGTCTTCATCACCACTTTCGGAAGACCTGTTAATAAGATTCCTGTCTTCGGCAATGGCACAATGCTTGCCGATAGGCAGGCTTCCATTGACAGATGCTGCTGTACTTGACGAGTGACCAGGTTGGTTTTTCTGGTTAACGGATCGAACACTTTGAGGGAAAAGGCTTGGGCCTGCGAGTGGACGAGTAATGTAGGCACTATTTTTCATATCCTGTCATAGAATGGAAATTGTTAAGCTTGAAGCATGACAGATTAGCTTCATTGACATGAAAGTCCAATCTCATAAATTGATGTGGATAGGCTGCACTACATACAAAGATGCTCCTGGTTCTAGAACTAAACATGCCCTAAACTCTATTTGTATAATGTTATGGATGATAACTAAGGTTATTCTCACCATTTATAGTCCCATTTTAAATGGAAAGATTAGTTTCACTACCGCTAAATGAATACTCTTGGATATTTCTTTTATACACAAGTCACACAAATGATATGATAGTTTGATAACCGCTAAATGAATTCCCAATGCCATTTTTTCTAATATGCATTTTCGGAAATGACAGATAAGATACTAATTTGACATGCAACGTTTAAACCGCACATTGCTAAAAGCAGACAAGAAACAGAGAGATTAAGTTGAGAGTATATGTACCATGTTCTTGATAGCCACATCCAAAGATTTTTTTGAGATAGTCCGGCTAAATCCTGTGCTTTCTGTTGATGTCTTCAAAGATTTTCGTGTTGATAACTCTCTGCGAGAGTCAACTGTATCACCTAGCTGCCCATTTGCACGGATCCTACCTCTTCCAATGGGTTCCGCGGTTCTTCCCCGGACAACCATGGGGGATGACTGTCTCCTTGGCAAAGCTGTAGAACTTGTAGTCTTTGTGTTCCCTTTCAAAGTAAGAGACGCACCAGGCCTTGACCTACCGGAAGATGGGGGCCCGTCTGGTAAAGTTTTTCGCAGGTTTGGTGGTGTTTCAAGTGGAAAATCTGGAGGTACAATCGGCTGTGGTTGCGGACAAACTCGTAGACCGGGGGAGCTTGGACGGGAAACTGAAGAAAGGTTCTGCCTTGCAAGAGTACGCCCTTCTGAGGCTGAAGGTCCTTTTACAGGAGATATAGATGGTCCTGGGTTTCGTCGAGTAGGTGTTGTAGGCCTTGATGTTGATCGACTACCAATAGAGTTCAAGTTTGCAGAGACCTGTGGGCTGGAAATTGAAGTAGAAGGTCTTGAGTTTTGAGATGGTCTCGGTTTCTCAATGGAAGGCATGTTGGGGGAAGGATGGACTTTACAAGGAGTCGAAGATCTTGACACTTTTGGACGGACAGAAGGGGCTGAAGGTCTTGTCATAGATGAAGAGCGGCTGGTAGGAGTGGAAGATCTAATATAAGATGACACTGATGCAGAGCTTGTATTAAGGATGGAGTTCGATTTGTTCGAATTGATACTATACTGGGAACTAGAGACAGAGGGGCGAGTTGCAGAACTGCTTCGTGTTGGACTTGCAGCATGGCTACTTGCCGAAAACTGAAATAAGAAAATTCATTCCATAAATAGTATCAGAAACTAAAACATTGCAATGTTCAACTATATATTTATTGATAATAATTTATGACAAATCTCGTTCACTTATGAAAAGGCAAACAAGAGAATAAGGAAATATCAGTCTAGGTTTTTTAAGATATAGAACTGATATGATCGAATGGATTAGTTATTGTGCTAATATCTGGGCTTAATACGGGACCAACAAGCAATTTCTCTGAATAAAGTGTATGGTCAACTAGAGTAAACAGGTTTGGCATACTCTTGAGGCCTTGGTTGCAGAGATTGATATGATTGATGGACTGCTTCTTGGAGCCACAGGTGTGGATTTAGGTTCATTTCCATCCAATGAAGTTCCAGGAGGAGTAAGAAGCCTGTTACATATTAAGGGTTGTAAGCATAAGCAGAGACAAATAACACATTCCATTATTGCTTCAGATAACTCACTTTCAATATAAGGCTATCTCGGTGTAGCTGAATATTGTTGGATTATGATTACTAGAATTGGTTATTTACTTATTTTTGAACTTCCATAATTTATGCTGAAGGCATTAATGAGAAGACTAAAGCTGCATCTTACTTACAATTATCTCCAAACTTAAAATAGTAACACTATACCTGTTGATTTTCTGTAACCTAAATAAATGTAAGACCTCACTAAAGATGATTATGTAACAAATCAAGAGTTAATAGATTGTTTGATTGTAATCCACACAATAATCTGAGACAATTAGTTATTTAAGTGCTTGATATCCCTGAAGGAAATATTTTTCCACATTAAAAGTGGAAAAGAAGTTGTAGGAAAATATTCAGGAATTACCAATCGTAGTCATGCTTTCCGCCATCAGTCCATGACAATAGATCATGCAGTCCATTTTCCCCCTGTTTTGCTGATTCAATTGAGAGTCTTCCCAGTTTCTCGGATACTAAACTCGATTCAGGAAATAAAACAAATAAAGAATTAATACCAAAAGAAGAACAGAGGTAAATTTGCTATTAAAGAAATGGATAAAACAGCTAGATAAGATAATATTGCTAGTTTAAGCAGCTGCAACGCAAATCGCGTCAACGATATTGTTTTATACAATTAACATACTAATCGTAACTGATGTTGCCAAAAATAACCGTCGGTTTCGAACATAATTGTATTTAAATCATTATAAAATATTTGCCGCCACATATGCTACAGTTTTTTTGAGACTGATGGCTAGATTTATAAAATCACAGCAAAAACAGAAAGAAAAACAAAATTTCTCACTTACCATCGGACTCATCGGAGAAGAGGTCCAAGTTGTTTTCCGAAGAGTTCTTGGAGTTTGAGACTCCAATAATGCTAAGTCGCCGGCATTGCTGGAGCAGAATATTCCGATCGCAGCCGATCATTGAACTGTAATTCATCTAGTATTTTTGTAAAAATAAGACCCTATTATCATAATGAGTAGAAGCATGGAATGAGTGAGCTGAAAGAAAAATGGAGATGCGAATGGAGTCAGTCAGTCACGTAAGCCTTTCTTCGTCAACTTTTTGACGCCGTCAAATTATAAGAACGTGGATCCATATGCATTCATTGACTTGCTGACATGGAATAATATTTATATTCTATAAAATAAATATATTCAAAGAAATTTATATATAGAATATTTTTATATATTCATTTATTTAGTAGGTATCACGTAAAGTAAAACGTAAAAATAATGCTGTAATTTTCCTTTATATGTTGCCTGAAATATTTTATATAAACTTGCAAGAAATTGCCAATGTAAAGTACTTGAGCATTGAATGGGCTAAGTTTTATATTTGGATTACGAGTTTTCAGCTTTGAATTTCGAAATGTTGATACTTCCAATCTTAAAATTTTATATGGTATTCTTCAAAATTATGACTGTGTCGACAAATGAACGCCTTCTTTTAAGTAAATTAAGAAAAAATTCGGATTGGGTGGATGAAAAAATAAGCAAACATTTTTTTTTTATCTCTTTCTCCCTCTCTAAATTCGGAAACTATGAAATAATTATTGTTCTTGTTTGTGTAGTATTTTTTTGGTTCCATCTATTCTTTATTTATATTTATAAAAAAATTCAATTAATATAAAATAAGAATTTCAAACGAGATTCAAATAGAAGCTCCAATTGAAACATAAATAAAAGTTTCTATTAAAAGCAAATCTAATTAGTCAAAGGTTAATTATATTACAACTACAAAATTTAATTACTACACCACACTTTATGGAAGCTTTTGTTATAATGTGGAGAGACAAACAAGGGTTTGAATTTTTCAGGAAAGGAAGCAACCTGTTGTGTTTTTCTGCTACATTTATATTGATAGTAACTAGAAAACAATAAATTACAAGTACACACACTCTTTATCTCAAAATAAAAAATGCACAAAATGGTAAATTTCTGTGCTGGCAAATGCGATGAAGTGAACATAGATCCCTCTGGATTAGATCTTTGTACTTTTGTCTATGCAAGACTTTATTTTCAATGCAATTTGCCATTAATAAAATAAAATTAAAAAAAATCGATCAATTGCTTGAGCACGTGTGAGAAATCAAAAACATATCAAAACTTTGGAGATTAAACAATAAGTCCAAATCTTTTATAGTAATTATAATTACCTCTAAATATTTTATAAAATTACCATAGGGATATAATATGACATATATGCACCAAGTTTCAATAGTTAAATTCTATCTAGTCGATTCTAAATCATCCAATCTAATTATTAATTTTTGCTCTTTTCACTTAATGTAAAAAAACTACACTCTTGAAATATATAAGATTACAAAAATAAATAAATCAATAATACTTTCATATGATCTGTTGTGTTGTATATTATTCCCACTCGAGATTTGATATAGCTATGAGCACAAATGATCATTTTGTCTCTCTAATTATTCTCACTAATTTAAGTCTTATTTTCTTCAAGTGTAATATAAATCAATCACAGATGTCGAAATTTAGTCGTCACTAAACATTGAGCTCAAAGTTAATCATTCAATAGAAATACTTATAGCTACCCATTTTTCAAAATAATGATTATGAACACAAATTCATATTCTCTACGTCACTCTTTCTCAAGCTCTTAACTCATTGAATTTTTGACCAATGAGATTGATCCCACTCATTAGTGAATAAAAAATCCTTAAACTCGTGAAATTTATACACAGCTCTATCAAGGAATTTAAAAATAATCAACGGTCAAGTGAAAATTAAATCTCTGTAGGATCATGCTAAAATTTAAAACCAATCCGTTCAATACACTTTAAGTGTGCTAATGTCACTTTTAACTATTACCGTGATAAGGACAAAGTGCAAACCCAAATAGTGAATAAATCAACACTATAACATTTGTGTACAATGTGCTAACCCTTTTACATTGATTATGAACAATTATTTATGATTAAAATATAAGTTATTCAAATTGTGTTTCTCAACACAGACATCCAACTTATATTATTAAAAGTGATTATAAACACTTTAATTTTCTTGCTCAATAATAAATAATTAACATTATAATACTATTTTATCACATCATAATATACTATATAAATACCCAACAATGTACAATAATTGGCTGGTAAAATAAATTATGGAAGGACACGAGGTCAATGGTTAAACGTAAACGGAACCTAGGACCTCTTTCTTGTAAATTTTTTAGAATAGATTTTACGAAAAATGATTTTTTTCAAAGAAAAGGTGTAATTAAGAATAAATTTGAAGAAAAATGAAATTTATAACGAATCAATACCAAACGAGTGCCTAGTAAATAATTAGATCAATTGATATTATTGAATAAATATTCTCATTAGTAATAGATGACTTCGTTACAATGTCAACAAAAAATACATTTTTCATTCATAAAACTCGCTATATTTGAGCTCCATTATTTGAAAGAATAAGTTTTGCAGTAGTGATTCCTTGAGATAATGTGAATTATAATCTCTCTCTCTCTCTCTCTCTCTCTCTCTCAAAGTCATATTAGTTGATGCAAACCCACATTAGCACGCTAGACAAATAAACTCAACCCCAATCCACTCGTAGTTTGGCCAATCTACATCTTAGTGCTTGTTTGGTTTAATTATAACATCATTATAATTTAAATATCAAAGTCAATCTTTTATTTTAAGTAGGACTTACAACTATTATTCACTCATTGGATTATTTCCCTTGTACAGATAAATTTGTACGGGAAGCGTACTTCTTTTTTATTTTGCCAATATCAAATGAAATAATGCCAAGTGTCCCCATATGAAGCAATATGGCAAAATTGTCTATACATATTGCATGATTCTCGCTCATTTATTATTTTAATAAAGAGTGGATGAATCTGTACAATTATTGTACAGAGTACAGATATATCAATTTGGTATAGATAAAAAGTGCAGAGTATTATCAACCTAAAAACAAAAATCTACTAGTCAGAGGACAAGATATTAAAGTAAATCCACATGAAGCATAGGAACATACAATTTCCCAAATATGAAAACTGTGATTACTTGTAAAATTCAAAATCAGTGTCTGGTTTTTTGACATTGCTCCGGTATCCCTTCTCAAAGTCCTTTGGAAGTATAACATACCGGTTTTTGCGGACAGCATGCATGCCCGCCTCCTGGCATATAGCGGCAATCTGCACAAAACCACCAACGCAATTAATCAAAAACAAATTCCAGCTTTCACCACTTAAATTTTAGCCCATGCAGGGAACCACCACCACCGAGGATGGATTCCAGGAACGCCCAAATAAAAATTATATTGGAACAAGACGACATGATCCAACAAAATAACTAATCCTTGTTCCTAATAAGAAGGTATAGAAATGCTAATGCAAAGAAACTAAGGTAGCCAAGTCCCAAGGGTTTGACCTTGAGGTATTTTAGTTCCTATCCCCATCTCGCACAAGAGATATGCTCGTCAATTCTTGAAGTGTATTTCCTATGGATACGTAGGATGTAAAATAAATTTTCTAGAAAGCTTGTAATTTATGTAAATGATTATGCATAATTATGGCAACAAATTTCACATACATATCAGAACTTCATATTAACAGTATTCATCATTTCTACAAAGAAGTTTAGGAGGCTGCCAAGTTATAAAAATATCATTTAGGAGTTATTGATGGCCATTAGATAAATTATTTGTCATACCAGAACTAATACTTCTAACTATTGATTAAGGATCAATGTAGCTATAGGTCAAACTTTACGCTGTCGCAGCTAGACCAAAGTGCAAAACAAAACACTCATCACATAGTAAAAGTCACTGGCACCAAAGAATGACACAAGTCAAAATGCACAGAATAACCTTAATAAACATATAATGTAGGTACTCTGCAAAATCTATTAATTCATAGAGTCCATTTATGATCCAATACACATACATTTAACCAGCTAAATATTAATCACATTCTACTAAGAAGCAGTCGAAGAATCAATGATATTTCATAATTTTTTGTTACAAAGAATTCAACCCACAATTTCTAAGTACATTAAGGAAAATTAGAGATTAGATCCAACTAGAAATTTCAAGAAAAAAAAGAATGCAACAATGGAGTTTTATTTCAAGAATAAATAACAGTCAATTATATTTGCATTATTTAGCAAATTATTAATTTAGGGTACGAAAGGGACCACAAATTCATATAGACACGTCTATATAAGTATTCCATAAGCCCAAGACCAGAGTGGAAAATTTTATTATAATTTAGTGGTAGTCAATTCATATAAGGTTATACTATTAACTATATATGATTTAGAATAAAAAATCAGTAATTAAGCTGTCTACCAAAACCAGGGACCAAGATCATGACCAGCATCCAAAACCGTACAATTTGGCATTTATATTAGAAATGATATAGCACCTTCTTTCTTTTCTTTTTTTTAAATGACCGTGAGTGTCCGGGTCAGTTTACGCGCACCTCAACTAATCCTATAGGACCTTGAAATTTACAGCCGGATACTCATCTCAGTGGCCCTGAGAAAACTCGAGCTGATGACCATTGAAAAGCAAACCCAAGACCTGCTCACTGAGCTACCCCTTAGAGTTATAAAAATGATATATCACCTTTATTGAATATATCAGACGCTCAAGGAAAGTGATGGGAATCTAGAAGATATATCATATAGAAGACTTTCCATATAGGATACATAATTAGGGTTTTAAATTCTCTAGTATTTTGTTATATGTTTCTTGCCTAAATTTGATAGATTCTCTAGTTTTTATAGTTATTTCTTACCTAAATTAGACTAGTTTAAACCCTATATATCTGGGCTTTTGCACTATAATAATAGACACAACTTTGATAAGAACAAAAATTGATATTTTCTCCTCCGATATCTCTTCCGTCTGCTAATTCTTCTTCTTTTTTTATCTCCATCTTTCTATCTACCCCTCTTCTCTTTTCACCCTCCTTTCTCTTCTTCTCAACCGTTCCCCTTCTCCTATAATTCCAATGTTTTGTTTGATTGCATCATATGTAGAAACGTGAATTGAAACGGAAGGTTGTGTCAATGATGCATAAACAGCACATTATGAAATTTCCAACCAAAGAAGAGATGTGATGTGATAATTTCTTCACAAGCTCTTTTTAGTAAACTACTCACTAAACATTTAATATCCAAACAAGATTGGCTTCTTGGTTGTATTAAAAATTTGCTAGCTGAGATGCTCCTTTTTTTGACCTTTTTCTATTTCATGCGTGACACAAACTGTTCATTACCCGGGATCTTCAGAAATATTACCCATTTATGTTCCATCCCATGAATTATTTTTGACTTTGCTTCCTTAATCAATGAAGTGCAATCAAATGAATACTTTGTTACTGGAGAACTTTTCACCCATGAAAAGGCGCACAACGAATGCACAGACTAATCTACAATATAAATGTATAATGAAAATACAAGACTAATGAAGCTTATGGGTGCAAGGGAACATAGTCACATACTCAAAATAACATCTTGTATAAAAAAGTAGTTACAAAAACGAACCTCAGCAGCACTTATTTTATCAGGTCGAGAAACATAGTCCTCTAAATCAACTTCATCACCTAAGTTCATCTTAGCTGTGCAAACCTGCTCAAGGACAAGCAACAATCATGAATCCAGAAAAAAATCGTGCAGAATCAATTGCCTTTCAATTCATCGGAGATGAAAAAATTCCTATCAGTTAAAGCAAATGGAAAGCTGAGAAATAAGACGCTTCAGGTATATTCACCAAACAACTACCTGAAAAACCAGCCTCTTTTGCCGTCTATCAGGCAAAGGAAACTCAATTTTACGATCAAGCCTACCAGGACGTAGAAGTGCGGGATCCAACGTGTCTGCACGGTTAGTGGCCATGATGACCTTCACATTCACAGTTTGATCAAATCCATCCATCTGTCATATCATTCAAATAATAAGCATTACAGCAAAAACATGAGTATAGAGAAAGCTCATAAAATGGACTTCCCTATCTCTACAGCATCTAACAATCCTCATAGTATTGGTCAAAGGTATGAAAGTATGCATCTGCATTCTGCAGTCTGACTGCACCCCTAAATTCCTAATTCTACATATTATACCTGATTCAATAGTTCCATGAGTATTCTTTGAACCTCTCTATCAGCTCCAGTTTGGGCATCAAATCGAGCAGTTGCAATTGCATCTACTTCATCAATAAAGATAATTGCAGGAGCGTTCTCTTTGGCAAGACGAAAGACATCACGGACCATTCTAGGACCCTTTACATACCCAGCAGCAATGATATTTAGACAATTGGATATTCACAACTTATCATAGTACACAAAAGCGATTCCAAATGTTATCCAACATAGAATCAGCACCCATCACAAGCAAAGATGAGAGCTTCTGAAGCATACCTCACCCAGATATTTCTGCACAAATTCTGAACCCACCACCCTAATGAAAGCTGCAGTTGTGTGATTTGCCACAGCCTTGGCAAGCATGGTTTTACCTGTACCAGGTGGACCATAAAGCAACACCCCACGGGGAGGGTCAATACCAATCTGCTTGTACAGTTCATGGTGTGTGAGTGGTAATTCAACAGCTTCACGAATTTCCTGCTTCTGAATATCACATCCACCGATATCCTGAGAAGAGAGAGAACAAAGAGATCGCATGATATCAGAAGGTCAACACAGCAGCATGGTTAACCATAAAGAATGGGCATGGACTATTAACTAATGGTGTCGAGTATTTGAAAGTAAAATAGAATTCTTCAATTGCAAGTATCTACAATATTCAGAAATGAAGGATTTGCTCAAGCGCATGAACAAGGGACGAAACAATCAATAATCCGGCCTCCATGAATTGTTGATTTTTTATCCCAGAATATTATTAAGGAGAAGATTATCCAAAACCATTCGCATTGATGCAAACGACGGAGAAGGGAAACTTTCAAGTCCTTCATTCAAAGCATGGGCTACATGTGCAATGCTTTAAAAAATCGAAGGCAAGTTTTCTCCACACAAGAGAGATTGATGGAAGCAATAAAAGGTATGACTATGCTAGAACAGGCAAAGGTGAAGACAAAGTGGTATTCTGGACTATAAAAGCTTATTTGGACATAAATCATAGCCTGAAGCAGCCTTTAACTGCGTAGACGTCATAGTATTTATTATTCATATATAAATCAGAAATTTTTAAAAATCTTTGGGTTGGATTTTTTCTTTGATCATGTGGGGTCCAGTTCACAGAACCCAAGAGCATACTAAAAATTGTTTATTCTTAGCCAATTTGACATTTTAAATCTATGTCCATCCATTATCGGCATACTCCCTTCAATGTTCTTTGTTTTGTTAACCAGAATCAAATTCTGCATTGGATCTTAAGAGAATAATATCTCGAATGTATGGGAAAAATCATCCAAGTTTTAGTTTTAATATAGGAAATGGAAATATTACAATGTTTCGAGCTTTTGTGCTTGATTTGTGTGGTGGCCATGATGCTCTATAACAAGTTATTTTATTTGTCAGTTACATAGAATCCTCCACAAGTGTGCCTCAGTTGTGGAGAAAGCTTCGTGAAATATGGATGTGGCGAGGATATCCATTATTGGAGGGCTATCCAAAACTGTAAAATTGTTCAAGATTTGCTTTTAAACCTTCCAAAGTTGCAGTCTCCACAAGCATCCAACCTTACTTTTGCTCTTCCTTCGGTTTGCCTCCACGAACGCACCAATTCTGGACCTTTTTCCTTTATAACTAGGAAAGAAAAGTGCATGATCTCGTGATAACAGAGGGTGTTGAAAGGTAATATCAAAGAAAATTCCATAATCTGTTAATAACACCTTCATATTCTACCCTCTAATGTAGGTTCGGTTAGTAAAACTCCAAGAATGGCTTTTTGGGTTCTCGCAGCAGCCAAGGCCACTTTAACTGTTGAATAAGTTGTGCGAGAAGTTGAGGCCCACCTATAGTAATAAAAACCCTAACTGATGAAATAGGGTAATTTTGAAGATAAAAAAATACAAAACTTTCTTGAAGGTTAGCAAAACCGGATTCAGAGAAAGAATTATATTCTTTATTTGTGTTAATGTTTTGATCACAAATCCACTTCCAACCTCTACCATTCTTGGATGGAAGAAAGTCACCGAGCAATTTATTCATGCACACCAGTATTACAGTTATTCTGCTCAATAAAATTTTAACTCGATCATTGAACACAGGTGTTAAAGGAAAAGGACCCCCTTCAAAAAAAGGAAAGCTATGCAACCGCAAAGAGTAGAATTAATTTCCCAAATCAAAAAATTCAATTATATAGTGATAATCAATTCCACATTAACAAGCCACCATAAGAGTTCTTGACGCATGATTCTTAAATGCAAATAAAACAAAAAGACTCCTACGAAATCATCCTATAAGTTGTACGGAAGCAAGAACTAATGCGTCTAACTCTTCAAAATCTATCTTAAAGCACAAGATAGTAAAGTTCACCGCTTTATACTCAAATCCAAAAAGGCTATAATCTCTATCTGGCAAGAATAAGCCATCAAGAAAATAATCAGCTCAATCTATGGCATATTTCCCATAAAGTCTTAATTTCCATTTCAATCATAAGATAATAACATACATCCACCAAAATTCTAAACCAAAAATATGTAAAAAGTAAACTAACTCACATTGTAGGTGACATCAGGTTTTTCCGATTGGCTAAGGAGCGAAATACTGGAGTCGGCTTCAGGGGGCAAGACATCGACGAGGGCATTAGAGTGACGGTGGAGAGCCACGGATGCGGCGGGCTTGAGGAGCTCTCGATTAATGGTACTTAGAATCCGGACATAATAATTCGACCCGGTGGTGGAGCCAACGATGCCGTTGTTCTGGTCAACCATTTCCATGAACTGGCCAATGACCAATGGCACCGACTGGATCCTCTTGACCTCCTCCTGAGATCGTAGAAGCTCTCGCTTCAGGTTTTTCAATTCGTCCTTCACGTACTCCTCTTGAATGTCGATGAACTCCTGTTGCCTCTGAAGAGATTTGAGTCGGCTGTATAAATCATCGTCATCGGAGGATTCACTGTATTTAGAATCGGCGACGGCAGGGAGTGTCGGAGGCGGGTCGGATGAGGATACGGGTTTCGGATCCAGTATCATTGCTGAAGCTGCCATTGTTGGATTTGCGTTTTGCTTGCTTCGATTTTTGTTCTCTCTTTGCTGCCTGCTTGTTTGTTCTCCTTTTAACTTGTTGCAGAGGAAATCATGGTGGGCTCAGGTTTGTGGGCCGGAAGTTATTTGAAGGAGAAGGAGCCCAACTAATCAATCAGATATAGTGATGACAATTTACCTCGTCCCGCCTCGGTCCGTCCCAAATGGGGCAAAAAAACCCGTCCCGTCAATTTTTTTTTTTAATACTTGGAAATATGAAGATAGAAAATTTCTAATTATTTGTTCATCCAACCCTTAATTTATCATAACTTTGTTACTAATTAGCTAATTGTTTGTTAATTATTTGTTTACATACTTAATTATAACATATTTAGAGTTCATCTATGCAACATATTTCAAAATCGTTTTTATTTAAACTTATTTTCTATCATAATTTTTTTAATAACATAATTTACATTTAGACCTATAATTTTTTCATACTTTTTATCCACACATTCTCTAAAAATCATTTTACACTATAAATAATTTTATCCCAAAACAAAAACTTAAATTTACATAAAGTAAGGGTATTCTTTATTAAAAGTTCAACTTGAATATTATCCGTATTTTATTGAACTCGAAATATATATATATATATATATATAATTTAAACGGGACAAGAAAACTGCCCCGCCCTGCCTCGCCCCGAACCCGCCCCGTTGCCATCACTAATCAGATATCCCGAGCTTCTCGCGTATCTGCAATCTAATTCTTGAATCAGACTATTGTACAATCTTAATTGATAATTTCACATTTGATATCTGTCGGAAATTTTACGAGAATTTTCTTTATTTTTATTTACCCACAAGAAATTTAATTGTTCAGAAGAATATTAACAAATAGGAAAAATAAAGAATATTGTTACGTGTTTGCACACTTGGGCAACCCACAGAGGCCCACAGCCAACTCATGTCGAACCACGTGGCACTAAATTCGAGGTGATTTGCATAGTCGAGGCCCACAAATCGAGGTCCACAGAAGCCTAGGCCCATATATATCGAGGCTCATCTATCATTGCCTCTTGATGAGCTTCCGCAACCCATATGCCGAGGCCTTTTGAAGGTGGACAAGGCCCCGTTAGCTGAAGCCCTGTAGCCAAGGTAGCAGCCTCCGAGTCACAATGCATCATCTTTCATAGACACTTCTCCCAAGAGATCATCTGCACAAAGATCTTACTTGAATGATTGATAGGACGTTTGTCATGAGTGTAATATTAAGTTTTGTCACTAATAGAGGCGGCTTTGCCAATCAATAAATGTATAACAAGATAGGTGCGGCTGATACCTACAATTTGACATGTAAATTAATCGAATAAGGTCATGTGTACCCCGAACCAAAGGTCACAATCTAACTTGTGACACTATAAATGCTCCCACTTGTACCCCATGCAAAGGCTAATGCAAGACTCAATACAAAAAATCATATTTTACTCAACTCTCTCTTTCTTATTATCTTACAACACAAACGAGTTCATACATATTTAGATACACGTTTACAAACATCGATTGGTAATTATTGTACAATCGGTCTACAAACATCCCGTCGAATTTCGAGCGTTCTCGTCCCGCGTCGTTGAGCTACTCTCACGCTCTCTATCCGTCTATTTTAGACCGTCCACGTATATTAGCGTGTTGGACTTTCGCTTACGTGTGCGCGGGTGGGTCTGGCATCTGTTGACAACATTATTTGGGGTCAATAGATTGGCGTCGTCTGTGGGAATCCATACAATAACCACGAACAACCTTGTGGTGAAAGCTTATTGAATATGAACATTTGGGCATCCCCTTGAAAAAGGATTTGTTCTTGAAAAAGAACAAGATGAAGCCCCACAACTTAGCAAAAATCTGAAGGTCAAACAAAGAAAATGAGTCGAAGACGCACCCCCCAGAAGGGTAAGAGAAAACGCAGGTGTGTTCCCTCCAGCAGCTGCCCTAGCAACTCGGCACCGACTCCACCACCACCATAGAAGAGGTGGAATGCGAGTGACAGCCTGACTATCAAGAGAAATGGCCACCATGGTAGCCAATATGAGGGACATTGCTAGCCAGAACATGGCTATGAGGGAACTCATGGCTCAAATGCAAGGCCAAGGAGGCTTCCCTATTCCTCCATATGCCCCCCAAAGGCACTACCAATAAGAAGATGAAGTTCAAAGTCAAAGGGTTGCCTCGTCGGACTATAGTCGAGGTAGAAGTCCATTTGAAAGGGGAAGTGAAAGTTGATATTTCTTCCAACTACGCTTCTGGGCGACCCATTGAGGTCCCTTCGAACCATAAAAACTTTCCACCTCCATATGAGCAAGAGCGAAGACATAGGAGGTCAAGTAGTGTATCTGACAGAAACAGCCCTGCAGAACTGAGACCCAGGCAACAACAACCTCGCGAGCCTGGACAAGGCTACAGCCCCCACCTCCAATGCCTCAACAGTCGGAAGAAAAGGCATGAAAATGCCTCCTGTGCTACACCGCCTAGAAATAGGCGCCAAAGGAGGGAAGAAGAGGCTAGGAACAGTCCCGGCACCTCTCACCAACCACCAAGATACGAGGCCTAAGAAAACGATTCAGATGAGCAGCAGAGGTTCTATGACTTGGACGATGATGATGAAAACCTGCCATTCTCGAAGGAACTAAAGAGTGCCCAAGTCCCAGACCACTACGTTATGCCTAAGATACCAAAGTATGACGAAAAAGGCGACCCAGAGAAGCACCTGAACGCTTACAAAACTCATATGAGCCTAAGGGGCGCTACCCTAGCTGTGAAATGCAGAGATTTCCACTTAACACTTAGCGAAGTAGCTGAAATTTGGTATAGTAGGTTACCACCTGGGAGCATAAGAAGTTGGCCCGAATTCAAGACACCTTCTTGAAGAGGTTCGCTATGAGCAAAGAGGGAGAGGCTTCCATCCAACGTCTCCAAGATATGAGACAAGCACATGGGGAGTCCCTAAAGAACTTCCTATCACGCTTCACTGATGAGATGACGTATTGTGTGCAAGTTACCGACTGTGAGGCATTATTTACACTGAGAGGAGGCCTGAACATGAACACCCTGTTTTGGAGGGACGTGCAAAATAAAGACCCCACCACCCATGACGCTCTACTTGAGATGATGAGACGGGAGATCATCAATGTAGAATTGATTGAGCATAGAACAGGGCAAGTAGAGGCCTCCCACCTCCGTAAAGATAGCGTGCTAGAGGGCCGACCTCGCACTTGATGGATTACCAAATGAACCAAGCCGATAATGAGAGTTCTGGGCAAGCACTTGCCACCACCACTCTAAATGTAGTTCCTACCTTAGCATATGAGGATATCAACCCAGTCACTGACACTAGCAGATGGGAACTCTGCAAGGATCCCGCGGGAGAAAGGCCGAGGCTGGGTTCGAGACCTAGAAATAGGTCAAATCTGAACCTCCCCGGATACTGCATATACCACCTGTCCTATAGCCACGACACAGCAAATTATCGAGACTATGCTCACCGTACCCGGCAAAAACCCCCTAGAGATAGAAATAAATCGTCCCAGGCGAACAGGTCCCTACCTAGGTATGACAACCGACCTGGGCGTGAAGAGGTCGCTCCCTGTCAAAGGGATGTTTCCCGGTGATGAAGGGAGTATGATGCAAAGAGACCCAGGGAAGGCGCAAACACCGAAGAAATCGGCAAACTCAGGATAAGGCCCCTATCCACGAGGTGGATACCATATTTGGAGGCTCATATGTGGGCGGTGAAACGCGGAATGCTAAAAGAAATTACGCCTGTGAGGCTAAGCATCCCCCGCTGACCAGTTATATTGTGGACCATAGCTCCCGGAGAAATCAAGTTTCACATATTGTCTTCACCCAAGAGGACGCTGAAGGAGTTCACTACCCCCACTGCGATGTACTTGTGGTGAGAGCGATCATAGCCCGAAATGGGCTCAAACGAATGTTAGTTGACAACGGTTGCTCTGTCAACATTCTATTTGGGTCCACCTTCGACGAGATGATATTGGACCATGAGTTGACGCCCACCATCACTCCCTTGTACGAATTTACCGGAGATAGTATCACTCCGAGAGGAAAGATCACCCTTGCAGTGGAGATGGGAGAGTCTCCCCAAGCTACAATGAACTTCATGGAGTTCCTTATTGTTGACAATCGATCAGCCTACCACGGAGTATTGGGTAGGCCAGCTCTAAAGGAATTGGAAGCCATCACCTCCATCCACCACCTATGTATGAAATTCTCAACGAAAAATGGGGTGGCAACGGTGAGAGGCGATTAAAGAGGCTCGAGAGAGTGTTAGCTAAGCTCCATTAGAAAGGTAGAGCCCCGGAATGTCCAAGTGATTATCGCCGACATAGTCATGGCTGATGTCCCAGGTGATGCTCCCTCTGAACCAAAAGATGTGGAAATGATCGAAGCACCACCCATTCCGAAAGTATTGGTCATCATGAGATTGACCCCCGCATAATTGAACACAAACCTCAAGCATCTTCACTTGAGGAACTTGAGAGCTTCTCGGTGGACTCCCGAGACCCATCCAAATTGTTGAAAGTGGGCAAAGGCTTGTCCAACATTTTGAAAGAAAAGATCAAGGATTTCCTAAGTAAGAACCTTGATGTCTTTGCTTGGAGGCATGAGAACATGATAGGCATAGACCCCAAAGTCAGTTGTCACCACTTGAAAATTGATCCTAAGGTTGTCCCGCACAGACAAAAGAGAAGAGCCCTCAACCCTGAGAAGTATGAGATCCTGAAGGAAGACGTTCAAAAGCTCATCCAAAATGGCTTTATCAGGGAGGCCACCTATCCGAGGTGGGTCTCCAACCCGATTTTAGTGAAGAAACACAACGAAAAATGGAGGGTATCCATTGATTTCACTAACCTCAACAAAGCTTGCCCGAAGGACAGCTTTCCACTCCCAATGATTGACCAACTGGTAGACTCCACGGCTGGGCACGAGTTGTTGAACTTCATGGACGCACACTCTGGCTACAACCAAATTCACATGCACCCGACCGATGAGGAACACACCTCTTTTATCACAAACAAATGCCTTTACTGCTATAAGATGATACCCTTAGGGTTGAAAAACGTCGGGGACATATCAAAGGCTCGTCAACAAAATGTTTGTAGAACTTATCGGCAAGACAATGGAGGCCTACGTAGACGACATGCTTGTGAAAATTTTGGAAGCTGGGGACCACATAACGTACCTCAACAACACCTTCCAAATCTTGAGAAGTTATAGGATGAGACTCAACCCCCTCAACTGCGCTTTCGGGGTTGCCTCCAGAAAATTCTTAGTATACATGGTCAACCAATGCGGAATTGACCACCACCCGACACCCATGCGATCAATCACCTATAAATATAAAAAACAATAGCCCCCTAAACCCAACCCTTCCTTCCCAATTCCCGTACAATCCTCACTGCCCCAAAGTTGCCGCCGCCACCACCATCTAGGTGATTAACAGCCCCAGTTATCCAGGCCGCCAGAAGTCATCGCCATTGCCACTGCCACCCAATAAATGAAGAATGAAAGAGTGACAGATTTCTTTACTTTATATCTGAAAATCGAAATTGATTTTGAGGTTTTGCTATTGTTGTGGTATAAATGGTTGTTCTAATGAATGAAACTGGCTGTGGTGAGGAAAAGTGATGATGAAGGTAGCAGTTTGATGGTGACGGTGGCATGTAAAATGGAAGAACGCTGCTACAGGTTTTTGGAAAATTCTGAACTCATAATTTTTATTCATTCTCAGTATTTTTAT